CCGAAAGTTTGCCGCGCGCTTGCCGTGCGTTTGCAAGACTGTACACTAACTATTCATCATCATCATCTCAGCCATAGGACGTCCACTGCTGAACATAGGCCTGTCCTCAATGCTAACACTAACACTAACTATTGGTAATTGACAATTTTATTCCGATGCAGTTGTCATACAATTTACATTACAGTTTGCGGTGTGAAGGCAAGCAGTGAAAGCGCCCGAGCACTGCCTACATTTTATTTAAACACACACACTTCGCAAGAAGAAAAAACGAGTTACTTTTTAAGCAGGAGCCTTCAGGAAGGGAGCAGCTTATGTATTTTTTTTTTATTGTTAGGCGCAAACATCATGTTTATCATCATTATTTCAGACATAGGACGTCCACTGCTGAACATAGGCGTCCCTCAATTATTTCGATGCTGAGCGATGTTCGCAGCGGCCTACGTCCAGCGCCTTCCTGCTACCTTTATGATGTCGTCGGTCCACCTTGTGGATGGACGTCCCACCTTGCTTCCCCATCTGAAATCTGTAGTAAACAGAAGACATTTTTCTCTGATTAGATATTATAAAAAGTACTTAGCTACTTACTTATTATGTCGATAAACATATTTTGGGGTAAAGTAACTGATTTATGATCATGATTTCCTTAAAAAAAACTTGTAAAAACAAACGGAACTCATTTCTTGGGAAAGTTTATAAAGTGATATTTATTTTTACAGTGTTACTCGTATTATGTCCAAATGTTATGATATAATTTCTTGTAAATTCATCGCTGATTTATAGTTATGTCGGATTCTTTCGTCGGATTACCAATAATATGCAATTTGTTGAAGGATGTAGCTATTATAAAGTAGGTAAGGTAACCTTCCCGTATTAGACGGGATTCAATAATTTTTAAAATAAACAATCTGTATCATCTTTCAAGACAATAATTTTTAAAATAAACAATCTGTATCATCTTTCAAGAAGAGAGCGTATTATTTTCTTCAATGCCGGTAACGAACTCGTAACGCCCCAGGGCCTGTGGGTGTCTATGGGTAATTGATTACCATCAGGTAATCCGTTCGACTCCTGTCCCATAAAAAAAATTGCATCTTTGCAAGTGTATGAAAAAGTTCGGGCTATTTCAACAAAATGACAATAGCTAGGTAAATAACTACGATATAACTAATATTTATAGATGTACCAGGGACTCAAAGACTAAAATACATATATGCTCTATTTTGAAGAATAGACGCAGATGCGATCTGCCAAACATCTAAAAGGCGACTGAATTCCCTAAGCGCCGTTATATGCGTAGAACACCCAATAGGGAAAACAGTATTGATCGTTTTTACCACCTACTGCTTTTTCTACCAGGCAAACATGAAATCGAAGAGATCCCAATCTTGTATAAGGAGCTTTGCCACTTTAAATTTGTATACATATAGCCACTACATAAATGTAGTGCTTATATTTTCTTGTAAACAACTGCTATCCTGCTCATGATCGTTGAGATTGATAATGTTTCATCTCTTTAGTTGCAACACTAGCCCGCTGTCTGCACTCACACATAGGCACATAGATGTTCTACAAACTCAAATTCAATACGTAAGTAGTGGTGTATTCCGTGTTCGCGCCAAACGAATTCGTTTCAATTTATGATATCCTGATATCTGCTTTTTAAACCCTGCCCCCGCGTTCGACTTTTGGTGCCTTGTGAAAATTAAACTTATATCTATTTATTATAACACCCTTATATCTTTTTGCGACGGGACGGGGGCTAAGTTTTTTTTTAATAAAGGGGTTGTTGTTTAAATCTTAGTCCTATGTTACTTACTTAAAAAAATCCTTGGTTTTTGTCTAGCAATGTACCTGGTGAAAACGATGATGTATCCTATCACCGATGTATGTACCTATTAAATTGGCAAAGTCTATGACAGACTTAGATAAGATGGTGGTAGCTAGCCAGGCGGACTTAGAACAAGTCCTACCACCAACCAAACTGAACAGAAAAATCTGTCCCCACTGGGAATCGAACCCGGGACCTCTGCGTCTGAAGCAGGTGGTCTTACCACTAGACCACAGGCGGTTGAGACCACAGAGGAGGTTGAGAGCTTTTATTGCTAATGTTAATAGTCATTCTATTCGAAGACGAACTATTTTATTTGGCCTCATACCTAGTAAGATGTTTACCATACTTGTACTCGAACCCAGGAATCGGAAACCAATTCAAGCAAGTTTAGGAAGTTCAGATGACGCACAGATGTAGGATAAAGTTATATGTATATCAGTGTGCTTACCATGAGTTTACGTAAGGTAAACTCGCTAGCGAGTGCGTCAAAAAAAATCTATGAAGATTTTAGTTCTTGAAAGTAGCCGCTGGGGCGCTGTACAATCTGTCATACATTTATTGTCATTTTTTACGCAGTCGCTAGCGAGCACACGTAACGTAAACTGGTAAGCACACAGTTTGCTATAAAATGTTTTTTTTTATCGATAAAAGCAGATGCATTGACTCATCATCATCGTTTTGGCCACAAGCAATCACTGCTGGACATAGGCCTCCCCTAAAGATTTTCAGATTGGCCGGTTTATGAATGTTTGTACTGTGCTGGGGGAGTATACGCACTTCTCAGGTAATTGTATAGGGAAGAGTTACGCAAATTCAATGATAAAAACCATAATTTGCAATATTATAATGTATTTATAAAATACAATAGTCATTACAATAATTAGGTACATTGATGTCAATTTTTTTTTAAATATTGATGTCAAAAATTAAAATGAAATTATTAATCAAAAATACAAATTAATTACAATAGAATAGCAAAGTCTTTATTCGACACAAAATAAACAACAGACTTAAAATATAGGTACAAAGTAGGTAGGTATTTTGTGCCGAAAAGGCGCCCGCTCAGCATTTATGGAGATGCGCGTGCACACGCGCCTCTTCAGCCATTATCCATTAAACTAAACACAAAATTAAACACTGACATTGAAAGGAGGGCGCCACTATCACACTAACCCAGTGTTCAGTTCCAAATGTTTACCACGTTGGGCAACTTTATAAAAATACTTATACTAAAAATAAAACAGCTGTACAAATGCATTGAGAAAAATTGACAACATTGGAGGCAACATAGGTAAGGCGCCAACCTGATGAAGCAAATATATGGTCATGGCCAACCTGTGTGCACTGTGCATCGATACACGCAATACAGATTTATATTAATAAAATACGAAACACTAAAAACATTTCAAAAAGTATCATAAAATAAACAAATACAATTAACGTTCTTCTCTTCTTTCCTAAATAAATAAATAATACCAATTTTTTAAATAGGTATGCGAATGGGTGCTCTGCGGAGACGATTTATCATTATTATTGATTTGCGGCTTTCAACTTATCTAATTCTATTTGCGTAAATAAAGCGCAGATCCTACGCTGTATGTCCTTTTGTGTCTTAGGTGAAAACTTACTTGTGATATACTTAGCAAGATCACCAGAAAAATTTTTAGATTCTGGATCAATCAGCGGTTCAGTCTTTAATGGTGGACATAAAAAACCTTGTTTCACAGTACTGATATCTATTGGCATACATACAGCCTCTTGTTCCACAGTACTGGTCGTTTGTATATCAAATTCTGCAGGAGTATCAGAGCTTGGCTGAAATCTTTTAGAATTGTTTTCGTTCGCATCGGTGTCATCTATATCAGATTCCTCTGATTTAATTTCAGTTGTCACTGCTAAATTCATTTCATCAGGTTGCGTGGTGTGTGATCTAGCAATTTCGATTTCTTCTGGAATTTCTTTTGCTTCTGGAATTGATGTTTGTGGTAAACTTCTTCTTGTGTGAGATCTAAGCGTTGGTTTTCTAACACTTCTTATTTCTTCTTCACTAGTATCACTTAATGAATCATCGTCACTTACTGTGACGAGATCAGTTTTCTTGCGACCTAATGCCCTGTTGTATATTTTGTAGGAAATGCTACAATTTAGAAAACTTAGAGGTGATTCTTGAAACTGCAGAGTTTTTCGACGACTGTATACGTATATTGTGCCGAAGTAATCTTTCCTTAATTTTATCCAATTCTCTTTGCATCGATTTTCTACGAACAAGTAATAAAAATAAATCAGTATTATAATGGCTGGTAGCAACATATTATACGTGGCATTATCCCTATTAGTGTTTATTGTGAAACATCTAACGGTCTTATTCATAATCATTTTTCACATTTTATCAAATGCTTATTAGAGGTTTATAAAACGTTTGATAAAAATTGTTATTCATAATCGTCATTTAGCGCTAAAATCCTCTTATAACTGTGTGATAAGTTATCGAGAGCTCGGGCCTTGTTTAAAGCTCTAATAAACCTATTTTAACCTAACTTTTATAAATGTCATTTCATATGAATGTCACTTCGTTGGTTTATTTATTCAAAATATCCTTGCTGTGATCCTTGCTTGTGAAAATGAATGCTATAAATGCAATTGTGCATTTAGCCAATAATGCCGACCCAGCGCGACGTAGAAAGCTCTACCGCCAACGAAGCAACCCATTCGATTTGCGGGACCTAAATTTTAAAATAAAATATAGGTTCAATAAGGACACAGTGCGCACCATCATAGATTTGGTGGAAGATGATCTGGTTCAGAGCGCTAGAGGTGGTGGCACGTGTCCTGAACTGCAAGTTTTAGTGGCCATAAGATGTTGGGGACGTCGTGAGGTAAGCACAAAAAAGTGTTTTATTTTATCCCTTTGTCGTGGCTGCTATAATTATTTTCATACATTTTCAGGTACAAGATGATGCTGGTGACCTCCATGGCCTAAGTCAGCCGACAGTGAGCCGGATATGCGCCAGAGTCGCGCATGCAATCGCGAATAAGGCAAATTCCTTCATCAAAATGCCTATCACTATAGGAGAGCAGGAAAGAATTAGTGCCAAATTTAGAGCAATTAAAAATTTTCCTGGGGTGATAGGAGCCATAGATTGCACCCACATTAAAATTAAAAAAACCGGAGGTGACTCCATTGCGATTTTAACTGGGTAATGGAGCGGTTCATACCAGCGCACATTGAATTAAACCTGAAAAAGAAATGACAGGATTTTGAATTACAGGTAAAGGCAAAATTTTATATTGAAGGCAGAAATCAAAAGATGTACCAACGTTGTTTGTAAATCAGCCCAAGCCGCAACCTTCCGTTTATTCGTGTTAGTGTCTGTATTTTTATTTTCGATTGCATTTACTCTTTCTTTCACCAACTCTTTCAGCAAATACTGAAAAGCAAACACTAGGCGTCAAACATAAATAAAACCATGCTACAAAAATTAGTAGGCACTTTATCAGGCTAAAAATAAGTACTACCTTATCTTCCTCCAACCAGTTTTCTGATCGTTGCCTTTTAGGCGGTCTGTTCTCCTTCGTCATGGACATAATTAGTATCCGATGTAACTAGCCGGGTCGTCGTAAGAGCTTATTGCAGAGTACAGGGTAAGAGGTACAGAATCCAGAACATACAATCCCAAGTTTTATAAAAGTTTGATAAAACTTGGGAGTTGATCGAAAAAACCGAAAACTTTATTAAATTTTCGTGCCAAATGTCAATGTCAGTAAGTAAAACGTCACAGCTGCCAATTTTTTGTTTTTTTTTTCTGCGATTTGTCTATGATTTTACATGGTCCATCAAGTTAAATCACCAAAAAAGCTGTTTTCGTTCATTCTTTTTGTATAGTCTGTGGAAAGAAAATATTAAACTCTGTTTTAGCTATCAAAGGTTTATAAACGATTATGAATAACGTTTTTTATCAGAGGTTTATAAGAGTGTTTTAAGCCTATCAAACGTTTTAGCTAATGTAGGTTTTAAACCTATATTAGCATTTTATTATGAATAAGACCGTAAAACGTTAAAATAACGGTAATGTTAAAGCCAATAAGCTGCTGTCATAGTGACGTTGACGTAATGTAAATGTCCTTCCCCCTCAGGTTATCCTTAGTAAATATTAAGTGTATGTAATATGTATTTGGCTTTTTACTATTCATGTGAGATGAAAATGCTATGATGGGCAGCAGGGGTTGCGTTTATAGCAGAAAAACTCATCGGGGGCCGCCTACGATGGTGATGGATGGTCATGTCATGAGACGCCCCGAGGACTAATAAGAAAAGAGGACGCCCACTGGCCATAGGCCTAGCGGTGCACGGTGGCTAAGGACTCAGGACGTGCCCAGACAAATATTTCGACAACCCAGGACAGACTGTCCTGGCGCCTCGGAACAAGAGCCGACTGCAAATAATGGGAAAAAGGGCTAGGGAAAATAGGGCTGTTCGGTTCTGCATTGTGGAGTTCTCACATTTCACTTTTGACTAATATTTATAAATAATAATAATGCAAAATAACTGAATCCACAAAAAAAAAAACAACAAAGAGATTAGGGTTAGTAGTAGTTTCGCACGATTTTCCTTCGCACGAACGTGCGAAACGACCCCTTTCAATAATATTTTTTTAGTAGGCGTTTCGCCCGGATGTATTAAAAGCATTCAAATCGCGTGCGAATCGACTTCTTTTTTGAACTAGTAGTATGCGATTACTAGTTCTCAAAGGGGTCGATTCGCACCCGTTTTTAATACTTTTGATAAAACCGAGCGAAACGCGTACTAAAAAAAATATTATTGAAAGAGGACGTTTCGCACATTCGTGCGAAGGAAATTCGTGCGAAACTACTACTAACCCAGAGATTAACATAATAATATCAACGAAATTGTTATTACCATAAGATTGAAATCACTAACCCGACATTCCTGCTTCTTCAGCGATGGCTGCCCAACATTTCTCCCTCGCATCATCCTTTGATTTATAATCCTTCTTGTGAATTATTGGATACTTCTTCACAGCTTTAATAAGTGCGAGCTCATCCGGCTGCCACATTTGTGGTCTAATCTTCTTTTTTGGCATGATGTGAGTTTTCTTATGATGTTATTGTATTTATTGTAACACGTCACTGAGGTCACGTGGACTTCGAGTAGCCGAATGCTGTGTTTGTGCGGGAATCGACGCGCTTGACGGCGCGGCGTTGTCAGCGCATCGCAGCGCCGTGCGGCAATACTATCGATAGATGAGTTAAGTTATCGATAAATAAAACTTGAAAATCATTCGATACATACATCATCATCATCATCATCATCATCATCATCATCATTTCAGCCATAGGACGTCCACTGCTGAACATATAAGCCTCCCCAATGCTTTCCATGTTGATCGATCCGGCCTGCGTCCAGCCCTTCTCTGCTACCTTTATGATGTCATCGGTCCATACATACATTGCAGAAAATAAGCCAGCCAAGTAATTAAGAATTTCAAAAACTATGAAAACATCTAGTAACTGGTAAAAATGTTGACTATTGTATCGCATAATGTTTTAAATTACATATCTGTTTTATTAAAATTTAAATATCTAAAAGGTCCTAGTTTCATCGCAATATTATTTTTGCAATTGCGTATTTACAATACTATTTAAAATGTCATAGTGTCCGACACTATGACAGAGATGAGTTATACCAGGTAAATTTGATACTAGGTGCACCTATTCCTAGTATTTATTAATACTCGATCCAAATACCTATTCCACCTAGTACGTAGTAATTTAGCATACTTGACGCGACTAGTGCGGACTAATCCACGTAATATGACTTTAAAATACAATTTTTTTTGAAAAGATACAACCGTAGTATGAATAATGCAATTTGAAATTGAATAATAATTCCTCCCTTCATACTTCAACAGGCTGACTATCAACTTAAAAGTTGGCGTATTTAAAAGATATCAATTTCATAAAAATATTTACCTATTTTTTCTTATTTACATGAATATGGTTTGACTACGTTTATGTGCGTCAGACAGAGACGGAGTGAATCTCTACGTTCGCACATAAGCTTAGCGAGAAATATCAAATACACGACTACGGATTACGCAATAATAACCTCTATTACTTTGTTGATAGGGTCGGAAATCGTGTAATTTATAAAATACTAGGTGGATCAAGTATTTAAAAAATTGGAATAGGTGCCGCCTAGTACTGTAAAATACCTGTGTGTGGATCTGTTCTAGTAAATACGTCTCATCTCTATAGTGTCGCTGTTGGGAACCGACAGGTGGACCAATCTTTTTTTTATATTTTGTCTATGTTTTTATACTTTTTTTTTTCTTTTTGATACCTTGTGTTTTTTGCAAAAATAACTAAAGGTATTTCGTTGTTTTGCCCGCCTGAGTGGCTGTCCACCACAGTCGCAATATTCTAACCACGTACCCCCTTATTAATAAAAGTTACTCCCTAGTTGAATCCACCACTTTAAAACAAAGTTCAACGAAATCGATTTTTGTATTAATAAGGGGATAGTGTCAAGGACACAATATTGTCGACAATCTGCTACTACCGCTTGTTGCTACATCCCCAAGATGTGTCAAAATACGATCGAGCTGGCGCGCAAGCGTACCCGAGGGTGGCCGAGCCACGCCGAAGTGTGACCGAAGTCACCCTTAGCATCGCCGTGTGACGTCAGATCGTTTCTATTAACGCGCGAAACCGTACTCTGTGTGTTGGGCACAAGGCTCACTCTCTAATCGCTTTCATATCACGGGGTTTTTATTCATTTTCAAGAGAACAGGCTGGCAGGCAACAGACAAGAATTTCAGGCTTTTAACTTGTTGTTGTTGTTGTTGTATTTGCATTGTTGGGCACAGGCGATCGAGATTAAGGCTGGGTGCACCATCTCACTTTAACTTTGACAGTTGTCAAATATCTGTCAAACTCCATATAAAAAAGACCGGTTATCGTTAGCCTAGGCGCAGACTACCAACTAGTTTATCTAAAAAATCTTACAAAAACATATCGTAAACTAATGTAAACCAAACTGATATTGCGCTGTGTATATCCCTAAATAAATAAATTAATTAATTTGCAATTACCTTTTAATTAATACTAATTAGTAAAATCTACTCATGATAACATGCAGATGCAGTGTAGGTACTTACATACTCACATACGCTCACACACACTCATACAATCTATCTCCACTGTAGTATAACTTACTTGTTGTTGTTTTGTATTATGTAAGTAAATTACCAACACTTCTTTACAATCCACCACAGCATGTAATAGTTTTCATACAGTTTTTTGTAAATTCTTCTTGCTTTATAAATATTTATTAATTTTTTGCATAAACGCTACGGAAAATCCCTATTTCCCCGGTTCCCAGAATACACTTGCATATTCTGAGAAAATTTGTGACGTCAATACAACTGTGTCTCCCAGGGTAACACCTGTACCAGGATAGCATAAACTGCGAGGAGGTCACTCACTGCTGGAGCGAAATATTATACAACTAGCTACGTACCATTTGGTTCTTAGGATTTCTGTTTTTCTATAGAATTTTATAAGTTATATGTAAATCATTATTTAAGTAAAAATAATAGGATATTTATAGTTTTTACATAAAGGTTACAGGCTTTAATTCCTACCTACTGTCTTTTCACGTATCATTTCGATAGGAGGAAGTTTGGTTTAAACTTCAAAATAGGTAATAGATGAATACCGCGGAGATGACGATCGAATACGCATAAAAACGAAATCGAAACAAAATCGGGCGATTGTTAATACGCAGTGACTCCAGTGATCAAATCGCTTGCATGTCGTTAAAGTTTTGTTACGTGAATTAGGCCAGGTAATCAAAAAGAGCACGTTGTATTGACAGTAGGTAATATGACAAACAGCGTCGGCGTCTCAGCATACTCGTAGCTCGGGCATCCAGATAAGCGTCCAGTGCTCTTAATAAATCTGGATGCCTGGTACTAATCCCGCATGTACTCATGGTCCGTGATGCTTTACCGACCGTTACTGGTTTGCTATTAAAACAAAACGTCAACACACCTGGCTTTGTGTGCGTGAAATCAGATTAATAGGTGAAAATAGGTCAGACATTATCAGTGGCTACCAGACGTCATGATTTTATTTTTATTTATCTCCTTCCAGTTTATGTATCCCTGGTACTTTTAGTAGTTACGCAGCTATCTTTAACAATGTTAGATCATGGAATGGATGAAGTTACTTTAGGAACTGTTGTTCAAACCACAACAACTTCAAGTCGCAAATTATTTATTTTTAAGTATTAATATCACCAAGCAGGCACAAAAACAGTCTTGATGTTATAATAATGTGAAGATTTGTAATTACGAGTATTATTAATATTCTTATGTGCGACAACCTAAATTTATTTTTAATAGCTAGTTAGTTACATATTCTATGGCGTACAACCATGACTGCTGTCTTAATTTCACCATTGGTAAAAGGGTTTTTCACAACACGAAATCTATTTTTTTATTTAAGTTTCATTAATTTTTTTTATTTTATTGATTTATTGGCACTTGTGTCTAAAGAGAAATAAAAAGGGAGCAGGGAATTTCAATTCAAGTCAGGAAGGAACATAACTGCACATACGCTAGGTAGGCAAAAGTACCAGGAGAGTATAAACTTCGTCTCCTAGTACTGATGCAGCTTTCAAAGCAGGCGTCCTTAGCAACGGTTACTAAGGACGCGTCTCTTAACCAAGATGATTTTCGTCTAATGCGCATGCGCAGTACCGCTTCGGTTACTAAGGACGCTTCTCGTAACCAAGGCACAAGCACAACCCGTGGATTTGACCTCTTCGGTTTTATGAAATCCTGGTAGCCACAAGCAACAGGCAAGCAACAGGTGGTTGCAGCGATCAATATTGGTCCAATGAGGATCATTTCGATTTTTAGCTGTGAATGCAGATTT